ATAATTCCCACAAACTTACGAAGAAATAAAACAAACTAACACTTTCAATTTAACCTCTCTTTCCCAATCTTTTCAAAGTACCAAAACTTAATCCAAATGAAAACTATACTGCCCACACAATTTCCCTTGCAAGGAGATATGAGAGATACTTAGTCATAACTTAGGCAGTACAGAAAGGAGCTCTCATCAGAGCAGCATCTGAGCAGTAACAGGGGCTTTTTGAATACCTGTATGTTCTGTTATGATAATGTAATATGTAATGATAATTATAAATATTAGCAAACCTGGATAGTTTCAGACTTCACTTATGTTGCTTGTATAAAAGAAAAGAAAAGAAAAAAAAAAAGAAGCAGCAACATCAGGAGCACTGGCACTCTCTGTAGTTATAAATGCCAGTTGCTAACAAAAAAAATGGCCAATACAAAGAGAACACCAGGCTCTTCTTAATCCCAAAATTCTCTTGCTCCTCTTCCCTGTCCCACACCAGCAGTAGAATCCCTGTACCAACCCACCTCCACAGGAATCATCATCAGCAATGTAAAACTGGTACCAAAACAATGGTCTAAGACTTTCCCTGTCTCCTAAGGAGTTACTCCCAACGAATATGAACAGGTTGTGCAGGTTTAAATATGTTTATCTCCCCCATTTATGGCTAGTTCTGCCACAAGGTAAAACATGGATACTTTCTGAAGCATGCAAACATTTGCAGAGAAGTCAGATATATGATCATTATGAATTAGTGTAAAATACAATGGAAAGTTCTCCGTAGTTTTCATGTTACTGGCCAGTAGCATTTTGAAAATGCAAATCTTCCCCCTATAAGGACATAAAGATCCTAAATGTATTTTCTCAGTTTATGTTACACCTACAGATTTCATGCCTTCCACAAGTCCCTTCCTATGGTGCATCATCTTTCTTTTTACTGAGGGAAGCAGAGCTGCAGAAAGACACTAGAAAAGCAACAGCCTTCTGACATATGCTGTATCAAAAAACTCCTACCACTATTTATTATGAAGGCTCAAATTTTTTTAATAGTCTTATTTTTCTCCACAGCTGTCACAATGCAACTGTATCCTATTTAATTTCTCAAATTTCCCCATCCAAGTCAGCCTATTTATTTGCCCATAAACTAAACGGGTGCCTGCCTACTGTGGAAGAAAGCTAAACATCTTTCTTTGTGTCACTGTTTAAGGCTGGGCCAGCGCTTAAAACGGGCAGCAGAGGCTCTCTGTTAACCCCTTCCTTCTGAGGAAGTGGAAGGAGAAAAGGGAGAGACACAGCTTGGGAAATGAAAACTACTTTAATAAAACAATAACAATGAAAAAGAGTGTAATAATATTAACACTACTACTACTGCTAGTAGAAATAAGAATGTACAAAACCAATACTGAGTTCCCCGATGATGGCTGGGGAATTGCAGCCGCAGCAGCTCACACCGCTGCCGCAGCAGGGCGGGCACCCGGACGTCCCGGACCGGACTGCGCAGCCGACAGGAACCGGATTCAGGAACGCACGGATCGGGGTCGGAGGCAGGAGAGCGAGCAGGGTCCCACAGGGATGCCGGCCATGAAAGACAACCAACGCTCATGATCCCTTAGATTTATACTAAGGATGACGTGGA